GAAGTAGTTTTGTTTGTTAATTCAAGTATTTCAGTTAAAATTATAGGCCAAATTAAGCCCACTTACCATCAACTCGAAGTGCTTAAAAGACAGATTCCAAAATAATTTTCCTATTTTTTTTAAGCTTTTAGTCCTTTTATAACCGACAAAATGAGATTATTGCATTGCATTCAAAATCCCCCCCCCCCCAGGTCAATTTTATGTCGACATTATTTAACCATTCAGTGAACGATTGATAGACCAATCGTCGAAACTGTTGTAGAAATGAAGCGAACTAATAGCACTGGTAATTCAGTATCAATTCATCCTTAATTCTTCAATGGAATTTTCAAATGCATGGCTTAATGAAAGATAAATTTAGTGGCTCAATTTTCATAAAACCGGTCAAACAATTGACTTCATTAGTGGATAATTCAATCAGTTAAGTTGCTTTGTATACACATAGCTGCGCAGATATTTGAATACAAGTAGCTTTGTTTACATTCAAACGATGCTTGGATAGTAGACAGTTAGCCGTCACAGTCATGACCATTCAAAGCCGATTCTCGCAGTGTTCGAGTATGAATTGTCGACAGTACTATGATTTCAGTTTTTATTAATCCCAATGCGTTTCAAATTTGTTTTGCCCAGCTCTGGGACCTCAACATCACGACCTCACAGAAGCCCTTGAAGTGTTGACCCCTCTGTCATCCCCTTGACTGTTACCAAGCTAGCGGTAGTATTAAAAGGGCTTGATCGCGCATTGACCTCAAGGTCACAGTAATTAACGAGAAGAGCCAATCAAATGCACGAGTGCTCCTACGGTTCATTTCCCCCCCCCCCATTCCATCTGTTAATGCTTATTATTCTCTATGAATCCGCATAACCCCCCCCCTCCCACCCTCTTTTTACACACTCACAACCACATACGAAGATATACGCATGCCAATAAACGTCTCCCCATTGTATTTAGGCGCACGCAACTCATTGAATTGGGCGTGTAATTGTCTGCCGTTAGTAGGATACATTTCATTATATAACGAAGCTAGCAGCAACCTCCAATCAATATCAAATAATTTAAAGAGCGCTCACAATTGAGCATCTAATGCCAGATTACGTCTACGTGCGATATTTGAGCATATCCGACAATCCCATCACCTGTAATCCCGTGATTAACTTGTTCACACAAATAGCAAAACTACCTAACCACATCCGGCCCCCCCCTCCCGACCCAAAAAACCCTTTGAAGAATATCTGCCAAGGCGATGAGTCTAGACCTACCATGAATTTCATGTTGCCTGTTCCAGAGGCTTCCGTACCAGCAGTTGAAATTTGTTGAGACAATTCAGCAGCCGGGAAGATTTTTTCGGCCAGCGAGACGCGGTAGTTCTCCAGGAAGATAAGCTTCAAAGGTAAAGGAAGAAAAGGAATAATCAATTTTATTAAATCTTAGCAACAACTTTATCGATCCCGGGGTGTGCCATAGACATACCTCCACGTGGTGCACCCTGGGCAACGTATGCTCATACACCTCCACGTGGTGCACCCTGGGCAACGTATACTCACGATAGACTTACCTCCAGGTGGTGCACCCTGGACAACGTATACTCAAACGGCACGTGGTGCACCCTGGGCAACGTATACTCATACGGCTCCACGTGGTGCACCCTGGGCAACGTTTACTCATACGGCTCCACGTGGTGCACCCTGGGCAACGTATACTCATAAGGCACCACGTGGTGCACCCTGGGCAACGTGTACTCATACGGCAAGTAAGTCTATCACGTGGTGCACCCTGGGCAACGTATACTCATACGGCAAACAAACGTGGTGCACCCTGGGCAACGTATGCTCATACGGCAAAAGGGTCTGTTAATCGGTAGTTGACTTCAAACTACCATCACCCCACTGTAAGTCATATTCGTCTACTTTCACAGTACTCACCTCACCTTTTTTCCACTTTATCTACCTTCGTCTTTGATACACTCTTCTGTTCCTCCGCCCCCCCTCTTGAATTTTTTGCACTTTGATGTTCCTTCCCCTCTGTGAAGACTGATGTCAACTAAAGGGTTAATGATAACAATCAAAACGCCTGCCATTTGATATAAATCTTTTTGGACATTTCAAAGTTTGGACAATTCTCATTCCACTAAAGCTGCTAGAGATTGTTTACGAGAGGAGGTCAGAATTAGGTATTTGAAGAAAATTTAGACGGTTCGTCGGCAGACTGCATTTCCTGGTCCCAATAGGCTAATTAATTGGGCTATTGTATGATTTACTTTCGATTTACTGTCGTATCTATGGCTTGACTATAAAAAGAAGATTCCAATGTACCTAATGTCTAAGTTTTTTCCATTTATCACTGACTCATGTCAAAGCTGACGGCTCTGTATTGACAAGATGGTGGTTTAATAAAATAGAAGTATTCCTATTCTCAAGTAGGTAGGAAAGAAGTGCATTTCAAATCCAAGGCAAAATATGCTCAAAAAACCTACTTTGAGTCTTCCACGAACAACAGGATCATTATTGATGACATTGCCAACAGAGTTAATCAATTTAATGATCAACTTGGCCATATGGTAGCCAGGGGCGGCTTTGCCACCAATCATGATAGTACGAGGCACCATTTTGGTGTTGGGATCAGCCTTGATCTTGTTGTATTGAGAGATAACGTAGAAGCAATTCAATAGCTGACGCTTGTATTCATGAATACGCTTTACCTATAACGATATATATCACAATCACGGTTAATGGGTAGGTCTAAGAATAAGGGAAATGCAATGGTGGTTTCAAGTTGAAATGACCTGAATATCGAAGAGAGTGGAAGGATCGATCTTAATTCCATAGTGCTCTTCCATGTAGGAAGCAAATTTAACCTTGTTGTCTCTCTTAATACGATTGATGCTGCGGAGGAAGCCAGCATCGTTACACAACGATCGGAGTTCCTTCAGACGCTCGAAGTTGGTGATCCATGAGTCATCTTTAAGA